CATGTGAAGTCACGCAAAATGTATTTCCATATTAGCAATATTGCAAAAGAAAACACACACACAAAAAGAAATAAAGTGAAAAAAATTATACTTCAATCTCCAGCAGTTATTTTGTGTGTGTGTGTGTGTGTGTGTGTGTGTGTGTGTGTATTTGTTTGGATTTTTGTTTTGTTTTGTTTTGCTTTGCTTGTCAGGCAATCAGGGTTAAGTGATTTGCCCAGGGTCACACAGCTAGTAAGTGTCAAGTGTCTGAAGCCAGATTTGAATTCAGGTCCTCCTGACTCCAAGGCCAGAGCTCCATCCACTGTGCCACCTAGCTGCCCCCTCCAGCAGTTATTTTTTAAAGCACCTACTGTGTGCAAGGCCTTGAGCTGGGGTGTGGGCATATAAAGTCAGAATCTCTTACCAAGGGGATGCTCAACTTATACAATGACATAAATATGCCATGACTGAGGAGGGAGGAATCAGCGTGGGCTTCTTGTAGGAGGCAGCCCCTGTGCTGAGGGGAGATAAAGTGACAGACGCCAGAGATGTTGAGGCACAATCAGCAATACTTGGCACTTGCTTGAGTAGATGGGGATCAGGGAGAGGACCGAGTATGGTCTTGGCCAGATTATTTCCCCTCTTTCCCTTCAGCCTCCTCGTCTGAAATGAGAAGGCTGGACCAGGCCGTTTCCAAGCTCCCTTTCAGGATTAAATTCTACAACCATCGGGCAATAGGCTGGTACAAGTCCTTCTTTTGGTTGAGAAATTACTCACTGTGAGTATTCCCGAGGAAAAAGCTGGAATGCTCCCGTCTTCCCAGCTCTCACATTTCAGAAAGACTTCGATGAGCTTTCTCTCTGTGTATGCCTCTGTACAAATGTGTAGTGTATGTGTGCATCTGAGTGTGAGTGTGTATATGTGTGTGAGTGTGTGTGCATATGTGTGTGTGTGTGTGTGTGTGTGTATGTATGTGTGTGTGTGTGTGCAGGCAGGAGCCACCAATCTGCTAACCTGTCCTCTCCCATTCTTCTAGAAGAAATGCCATCAGTACTGGCCAGACCAGGGATGCTGGGTGTATGGGAACGCCCGTGTCTCTGTGGAGGACTGCATCATTATGGTGGACCACACCATTCGGAAGTTCTGTATACAGTTGGTGAGTGTTGTCTGCAGCTGGGCCTCTCCAGGGCTGGCTCTGGGATCGAAGTAAGCATCGACACCAGGGATTTCCTCCATAAAAACCTAGGATGGGGTAGAGGTGCAGAGCCAAGATGGCGGAGTGAAAGCAGTGACTTGCTTGAGCTCTCCCCCAAACCCCTCCAAATACTCATAAAAAATGGCTCTAAACAAATTCTGAAGCCACAGCAGAACCCACAAAAAGGCAGAGTGAAACAAATTTCCAGCCCAAGACAACCTGGATGATTGATCAGAAAGGTGTATAACGCCGGGCTGGGAGTGCAGTGTGGCGTGGGCTCGCAGGCCGCAGCAAACCTGGAGCAGGCCTCAGAGGACTGAATCTCGGGCAGCTGTGGAGGTTTCCAGACTCTTCAATCCACCAATGCCAAAGACAACTTAGAAGGTCAGTGGAAAAAGTCTGTTTCTGTCGGTGCTGAGAGAGGAAGGTGGGAGAAAGGAAGGTGGGGTCTCAGCTCCATTCCCCAAGAGCGTGGCCCTGGGGGCGGGGCAGCTGCTTCCCGAGCTTCCAGCCCACAGACTGAGGGGGAATCCAGTGACTGATCAGAGAGGGATTGCAGGGATCTCTTTGCCAGTGCTGAGCCAGGAATCTCTCGCTTTGCCTGTACTTGGATCTGGGTCACAGTTCTGGGTGGTGGTGCTGGGGTGAGGAGGAGTGCTGGTGTGGAGGAGCTCGTAGTGGCTGTGCAGAGAAACCCCTCCTCACAGTTACAGGACAGAAAGGAGTACTTGTGGTCACAGGCCAGGAAAGGAGTAAACACCTCGCCCCTTATCATATCACCTTGGAAGAACTGAAAATTTACAGGTCCATACAAGTATCTCTGAAAACAGCTGTACAAACCCGTGAAGCTTGGGACAGTACACTCTCCACATTGGAAGCAGACTCTTACCTTAACAAAGAGTTTAAAACTCGAGTAATTGGCAGGGACCATGAGCAAGCAGTGCAAAAAGAGTCAGACTATATTATCTTACTTTTGTGAAAAAGAAGATCAAAATATACAACCAGAAGAAGACAACAAAGTCAAAGCTCCTACATCCAAAGCCTCCAAGAAAAATATGAATCAGTCCCAGGCCTTGGAAGAGCTAAAAGGGATTTTGAGAAGCAAGTAAGGGAAGTAGAGGAAAAACTGGGAAGAGAAATGAGATGATGCAAGAAAATCATGAAAAACAAGTCAACAGCTTGCTAAAGGAGACCCAAAAAATACTGAAGAAAATAACACCTTAAAAAAGCCTAACCCAAATGGCAAAAGAGGTCCAAAAAGCCAATAGGAGAAAAATGCCCTAAAAAGCAAAATTGGCCAAATGGAAAAGGAAGTCCAAAAGATTACTGAAGAAAATACTTCCTTAAAAATTAGAATAGAGCAATTGGAAGCTAGTGACTTTATGAGAAATCAAGACACTGTAAAACAAATCCAAAAGAATGAAAAATAGAAACAATGTGAAATATCTCATTGGAAAAACAACTGACCTGGAAAATAGATCCAGGAGAGAGAATTTAAAAATTATTGGACTATCTGAAAGCCATGATCAAAAAAAGAGCCTAGACATCATCTTTCAAGAAATTATCAAGGAAAACTGCCCTGATATAGTAGAACCAGAGGGCAAAATAGAAATTGAAAGAATCCACAGATCTCCTCCTGAAAGAGATCCCAAAGGAAAACTCCTAGGAATTATAGCCAAATTCCAGAGTTCCCAGGTCAAGGAGAAAATATTACAAGCTGCCAGAAGGAAACAATTCAAGTACTGTGGAAACACAATCAGGATAACACAAGATTTAGCAGCTTCTACATTAAAGGACCGCAAGGCATGGAATATAATATTCTAGAGGGCAAAGGAGATAGGATTACAACCAAGAATCACCTACCCAGCAAAACTGAGTATAATCCTTCAGGGGAAAAAATGTCATTCAGTGAAATAGAGGACTTTCAAGCATTCTTGATGAAAAGACCAGAGCTGAATAGAAAATTTGACTTTCAAATACAGGACTCCAGTGGAACATGAAGAGGTAAACAGGAAAGAGAAATCATAAGAACTTATTAAGATTGAACTGTTTACATTCCTTCATGGAAAGATGATATTTATAACTCATGAGACCTTTGTCAGTATTAGAGTAGTTGGAGGAAAAAAATTACATGTATGTATAGATAGATAGATAGATAGATAGAGGGCACAGGGTGAGTTGAAGATTAAGGGGTCTTATCTGGAGAATAAAATTAAGGGATGAGGGAGGATTATACTTGGAGAAGAAGAAAGGAAGAGGTAGAATGGGGTAAATTATCTCACAAAAAAGAAACAGAAAAGAAAATGCTCTTACAGTGGAGGGGAAACGGGGGGAGGTGAGAGGGAATGAGTGAATCTTATTCTCATAGGATTTGGCTTAAGGAGGGAATAACATACACATTCAATTGGGTATGGAAATCTGTCTTACCCTACAGAAAATAGGGGAAAGGGGAAAGAGATCAGGGGGATGATAGAGAGAAGGGCAGATTGGGAAAGGGTGTAATCAGAAGTAAATACTTCTGAGGAGGGACAGGATCAAAAGAAAGAATAGAATAAATGGGAGGGTTTTTACAACATGTCTACTATGGAAGTGTTTTGCATGACTGCACATGTACAACCTATATGGAGTTGCTTGCCTTTTCAATGAGGGTGGGCGGGGGGGAGGAAGAGAGAAAATCTGAAACCTAAAGTTTTAAAAACATATGTTTAAGAAAAATGTTTTCACATGCTACTGGGAAATAAGAAATGCAGGAAATGGGATACAGAAGTCTATCCTGCTCTACAGGAAAACAGAAGGGGAAGGGGATAAGAGAAGTGGGGGGGAAGAGATAGAAGAGAGGACAGACTAGGGGAAGGGATATTAAGAATGCATGCCATCTTGGGGTGGGGGAGGGGTGAGATGGGGTGAAAATTTGGAACTCAAAAACTTGTGGAAGTGAATGTTGAAAACTAAAAATAAATAAATTTATATTAAAAACAAAACTCAGGATCAAGGGCTGTTTAGGACATACTCTTCCCCTCAGAGTTATAATCAGAGGCTGAAGCCTGTTCCGTTCTTGCATCTGCTTTTCCTCCTCTTCCTGTCTCCTTCCTCCCTGCCAGGCTGTCTGTTTCCCTCCATCCCTACAATTTCCCTTCCTCCTTTTTCTGGTCCATCATTGGTAGGGAATCCAGATCACCAGGCTTGTCAGCATTGCTCAGAATAGGAAAGAGAGAGCCTGAGGACTTTGCCAAGTGTCCCTGGGCTCAGTTCCCCCATGTAGAACATGAGGGAGTCTGCTGAGGTCTCTTCTGGCTCCAAACTCAGGATGCTAGCACAAGGAGCAGATGTGACAAGCCACTCTCTTGATTCCCGCATCCAGTGAGAAATTTGGTCCAGGGGTAATCACTCATTGAGTCAACAAGCATTTCTTCAGTGCCTGGTGTGTTGCAGGCGCTAGGGATCATGATGATAGCTGCTACTTAAGGGGCGCCTTATAGTTAGCCAAGTGCTTTAATTGCATCATTTTAATAGAGTGTTACAACAATCCTGCGGGGTGGGCACCAAAGACGTTATTATTCCCATTTGACAAATGAGAAACCAGAGGCTCAAACAAATCAAGGGACTTTGAACCCTGGACACACACCTAATCAGTGTCCATGGGAGCTGAACGTACATCTTCCTGCCTGGAGTGCTTTGAGTGAGACAGGGATTCCCTGGGGGGCAGGAGTTCACTAAGGGCAGCACTAAGGGGAAGCAGGCAGAATTTCCAGCCGCCTGTGAGTGCTGGGGCCGCCGCTGCCACCCGCCAGGCTCACCCTAGGTTTCTGGTCTTCTCAGCAGCTCCACGATGGCTGCAATGCCCCACAGCTGGTGACCCACTCCACTTCACCAGCTCGCCCGACTTTGGGGTGCCCTTCACCCCCATTGGGATGCTGAAGTTTCTGAAAGAAGTGAAAACCCTGGATCCTTTCTGCTGTTCACTGCAGGTAGGTCCCGAGGCTCAGAGCCGTCAGCCACTGGTGTGGACATCAGGTGTGGGTGACATTCCTGCCCCTTCAGCTCTTTTACAGAAATAATGGCAGGACAGACCCGGAGCCCCAGAGGTCATTTCCAAAATGAATTTGTATTTGCTAAAAGCTGATGCAGAGGCTCATAGTGCCTTAGAACCAGAGATAACCTTGAGGGTCATTTAGGACACACTCTTTTTTACAAATGAGGAAACTGAGGCTAGCATGGCTTTCCAAAAATCAGATGGCTAAAAAGTGGCAGAGCCGGGACCTGGAGGAAAACCCTCTGCAAGCTTCAGGGTGCTGTGCAAATAGAAGTTTGTAGCATCATCTTCATTATGGATACTGGTTTAAATTTCTTTCTCTGTTTTGACACTCCCTGGATTTGGAATCAAGTCGGTATTTCTATCATAGTAGGCATTTGGTAATGCTCCTTTTCCTACTTTTGCCAAGAGTTTATATATTAATATTCTTTAATATGTATGTTTATAACATATTTGTTTATATATGTTCATAATATAATGTTCTTTAAATTATAATTCATGTTTGTTTTTCCCTTTGAGAGAAAATTTATGGAGTGTTTCATTTTCTGTAAGATTGGGTTAAGTCTTCTATCTCCTGCTCTGTTCATCTGGGCTTTTATATTTCAGTAAATGTTTATCCATCATTTAAATTGTCGATTTTGTTGGCATAAAATCCAGTGAAATAAGTTCTAACAGTTTTATTTATTTCTTCTTTGTTAGTTGTGAATTCAGCTTTTTCAGTTTTGTTTCTGATCGTTTGGTTGTCTTCTTTCTTTTCTTAGATCAAATCAGCTAATGATTTATCAACTTTTATTTTAAAAAATAGTTCTTGGTTTCACTTATTAATATAGGGTTTTTTTGCTCTTGTTATTAATTTCTTCTTTAACTTTCAGTATTTTTATTTCAGTGTTTAATTGGATTTTAAAATTTTGTAGGCTTTCTGATGCTTTCATTTGCATTGATCTAATGGTTGATGGGCTCTTTCTCTGTTTCCTGATTTAAGTATTTAAAGCTGTAGAGGAAGTGAGGTGAAGCAGTAGATAGAGTGCTGGCTATGGAGTCAAGAAGACCTGAATTCAAATCTGGTTTCAGACCCTGTGACCATGTCACTTAGTTTCCTCAATTGTAAAAATGGAGGTAATAGCATCTATCTCACACAGTTGTTGTAAAAATCAAATAAGATTATGTTAGTAAAGTACTCAGCACAATGCCTGGCATATAGTAGATACTTAATAAATGCTTGTGTTCCATTATCAAATTTTTTTTAAACTTGGAAAAGATATTGGAGGGACTTCAGTCCTATCCCCTCATTTACATCTGAGTAAACTGAGGCCTAGAGAGATGAGATGACTTGCCCATATTCCCCCGGACAGTAAGGATTAGAGGTGAAATTCAAACCCAGCTCTCCTAACTCTCCAGTTTCCCTAATACCACAGTGCCAACCATTCACGACATCCTGGAATACCTGTGGTTTTCTTTAATAATTAAACTCTTGGGGGCAGCTAGGTGGTGCAGTGGATAGAGCACCGGCCCTGGATTCAGGAGGACCTGAGTTCAAATCTGGCCTCAGACACATCACACTTACTAGCTGTGTGATCCTGGGCAAGTCACTGAACCCCATTGCCTAACCAAAAGAAAAAATTAAACTCTTGCCTTTTGGCTGCAGAATAAACCAGGGATAGCCTGGGGTAATGGAAAGACCATAGCCAGGAGAAACCTGAGTTGAACTCCATCCTCTGACATTTAGTGGCTGTGTGACCTTGGCCAATTCAGTCCCTCTCTGAGCCTCAGTCTTCTCATCTGTAAGAGGGGGATAATGTTAGCACCTACCTCTTAGGGCTGTTCTGAGGCTCCAATGAGATGACATGGGTGGGTTCTGCAAAGACGTCAGCTGTTGTAACCTCCTTCCCTGATCCCACCCCCATGCCCCATTTTAACTAACAATTAAGCATTCCGTCTTAATGGCAGCTTCCTGTAAAAAACTGTGACCTGGTTGGCAGGGAAGCTCAGGAGGGGAAATCTGTGACTGTATCTCTACCAAAATGGTAGAGATAAGGTGAATGTCCCATAGTCCAGGCCTCTTTTTCCTGGGGATTAGCCAGCACGGCCACTGGTCACTGTTCTCAGCTTTTTGTCCTGAGATGATTTTGAAAGGTTGGCTTGGGGGCTTCAGCTCTGTTTCTCAGAAGCTTCGTGTAGTGCCTGGCACTTAGTAAATATTTATTGACTGGCCAGTTTTACCAAAGTGAAAGGCTTTGAACATTATCCTAGTAATAAATTGTGTCTGATGTTTGAGGACCAGTGTACCTAAGAGTCTCATTCCCCAAAAATAGTCACTGGGTGATGAATTTGGGTCTTGAAAACAGAAACTTTTTTTTTCCATTCCAAGGATTGATTCTTGTGTTCATCAATATAGCCACTAGAGGGAGACAATTCCTATAAACATTTTCTCTTGAAAAGCTATTGGACATTTTTCTTTCAAAAGACAATTGTAGGAAAACAAAGATGCCTTTAGTATGTGAACAGTATGAATTATGAAGGGTTTTTTATTTTTGACATATTGATAATTTAAAATTTGTGTTTGGAATTAAGTTTATTGTCTTTCACATCAATATTTAAACTGCTACTTTTATTTAGTGTATGTATGAAATTATCTGAGTAAAACATTGGTTAGTTGTTCTTTGTTCCTGAAGAGTGCCAAAATGACATCACTATGTTAGAGTCAAGTCATGAATGTGTCCGACTGTGGCTGATCAGAGCTTGGAATGCTCTACCACAGGTTGGGCACAAATAGTCTTTGTGAACATTTGGGGTGGGTTCTCTACATTTGCACATCTAGCATTTCTTTTCTGCTACTTCAGTTGTGCTTTGCTCATAGAACACAGCACCTTTCCTGATGGGCACGCCATGCTGGACAGTCCTGTGCCAGTGTCTCCCATGTCACACAATCAATTCCAAAGTTCTTAAGAGAGATCTTGAGAGTGTCCTTGTATCACTTCTTCTGACCACCATGTGAATGCTTGCCCTATGTGAGTTCTCCATAAAATGGTCTTTTTGGCAAGTGTATATTTGGTATTTGAACAATGTGGCCAGCCCATCGGAGTTAAGCTCTTAGAGTCAAAAGATAGATTAGAAATTATCTAGTTCAACATCCCAAATCCATAACTGAACTCACTCTATGGTATCCCTTTCACATTGTTAGCTAACTTTTATACTATGAATATTTGTTCACCAAATGAGAGGGAAATCGATTTAAATAAATGGAAACCAAAAAATAAAAAGCAAAAAACATAACTCCTCTCACTATTTCCCTGCTGACATTCTTTGATCTCCTCTATGCTTTGGCATCATATCTTTCTAACTGCTCTTAGAAATTTTCCACTCCATTACTCCATTTCAACTTTATTAAAATTTCACAAAAACACAAAGTATCATTCCCTAGCAGAAATTTCATCTCAACAGTTCAATTAAATAATCACTTATTGACCTGAGGAACTGTGTTAAAGGTAAAGGTGTGATTTCAAAGATAATGAAATTGTCCCTGTCCTCAAGGAGCTTGTCTTCTGAGGGATGTAACATATGCACAGATAAGCAAAAAGAATTTGAAGAGGAAAGCAGCTTCAAGTAGGAGAGCTCTTGATACAGGGTTTTTTCTACATGCCTTTAGTTGAGTTGGATACATTCCACTTCCAGCATCTGGGTGGTATAGTAGACTGCGTGGTAGTATTAGACGTGGAGTCAGGAAGACCTGAGTTTAAATACTGTGAGATACTACTAATTACGTGACTTTGGGCAAGTCACTTAACCTCTCTGTTTCCTCATTTGTAAAATGAGGATAATAATAGCACATACTTCCCACATTGGTTCTGTAGATAAAATAAGATAATATTTGTAAAGCATTTCACAAACGTTAAAGCGCTACATAAATGCTATTATTTATTGTTGTTATCATTATTAAAAATCTGGCCCATAATACAATGGGAAAGTCTTTTGTTTTTCTTGGAATAGTCATTGTACATATACACAAAGCTGTGTAATTGATTAAAATACTAGAGGCACTCTCAAACAGGTGCTCCATATCTGCCACTAGTCATTTCCATCCTAAAAGGATTTTGTTACTTGAAACCTTGAGACTTCAGCTTTACTTTTTACATGTATCAACCCTTTATAGTCATAGAATGTTACATGCTCATGCAGCTATTTGGAATCCATAGTACTATATATATTACAGTGTGAGTCTCATTTGGAATACCCATTGTATATAGTTAGGTAAATTAGCAGTACATAATTCATTTATGAAATCTAGTTTTGTACAACTTAACATATGTTTGATTTGACTTTTTGATTTTATTATAAATGTGAGCTACTATAGCATTCCTGGGCCAAATAAGCCATTCCTTTAAACCTAGAAACTCCTGAATTCACTCTCCTTTTCTTAGACATTCAATCAAAGTCAACACTATGTAGCACCATGCCCTTGTGAGTGGTCCTCTGAAGAACTTCTCCACGCTGCCATGTACAAAGAGGGAGATATGATTCCTGAATAACTGAGAGACGAGAGAGGGATGTGTGTGTGAGAGAGAGAGAAAGGTGGGGGTGGGCAGGGATGAAAGGAAAGGGAGAGGGAGAGAAAGAGGAAAGAGAGAGGAGGGAAGAAAAAAAGGGGGAAGAAGGAGAGGGGTCAGGAAAAAGAGAGAGGAGAGCAATGATGATGACATGGTGTGATGAGAGAGAAGGGCAGATGGGAGACCTCTTTGCAGGAGTAGGCATGTGAGGAAAGCCAGAACCCTCTATAATTCCTTTGATTCCCAATGCCTTATCCCCAGAGACTGATACCCAACGAAAATCTCATCTTCTACAGGAAACCTTCCCTAACCACTCTTAATACTAGTACCTTCCTTCTTTTCCTATTTGTCTGATATAGCTCACTTTGTATATATTTGTTTGCATGTTGTC